ATAATGTCGTCTCGCCCCGCTGCTGCGTTTGATAGCTTGGGACCATGTCAGCATTCTCGTACTTAACGCTATGAAAACATAGGTTAGATCGGCTGCAGTTTCTGCTGCTACCGACAGCAAATGCTGCGGAAACCCCTTAACACGCAGGAAAAACAAATTCACATTCCACAAGAAAAATGATCGAAGACACAAACAGAATGTATGCATGATGTAGGTGAGTGCTGACAAACTAAGGCTGAAATGTGATCTGTCGGGAAGATCCGAAAGCAGTGGTTAATTGAAGAGTTCATTGAGGTAATGCCAAGATAGGCACGAAAGGGTTGTGTTTGGACCTATTTCTTTGTGTCAGAAGACTTGGAACTGTAGGTTATGGTCAGAGGTTCACTTAGCAGATCTATAAGAAATGAACCCAAGGCTCGATCACAGGTCCAGGAACATGATTTACTGTACTGTCTCTGACTAGTTTTTCGGGTGAATAATGGCATTTTGCAAGTGAGTTCAACATACCACATTACCAATATGGAGGAGCCAAGTCACATATAACTATAAGAGAGATGAGTCAGGTACGCGTTTGACGAAGTTAACAGTTGCATTGATATTTGCAATCATTTAGGTGTATTTCCTCCAAGCAGCCATCAAACACAAACACAATGAATAGTATGATGTGGAAACAAGGTTGCAAATTTCACACTGCAAAACAATCTGCAGCAGCAGCATATTTTTAAAGGTATTTATTTTTTTAAAAACTGAACCTTAAAGAGAGCATTGAGTGATTATTTAGTTCAAACAGTAACATTCGTGCTATTTGACTTACGCTACGATGGGGTTACGTTTTGATGAACGTAAGCGGAAAATATTCTAAGACTTATATGAATATAATATGATAAGATTGACAAATAAATAAATACACACATACATATACATACATTCATAACTACTGTTACTGAAAAAGTAAATAAATAATTCCTATAACTAATTAAATACCAGTAATTGAAAAGTAACTAAACGAATACAAGTTTATTTGGTTAAACATGCCGCCATGCCCCGGCATCAGTAGAAATTGTCGTACGGCTTGTCGCCAACCCGCAAACAGATCAAAATTCAAAGTTTTCTCCTTAATGCACATCGCTGTCGCACCATCGTAACGTTGAAATAATGGAACCAATCATAAAGGCGAGAAACCCTTGTACACACTTTCCCTGTAAGATCCCGTATGTATTTATATGGTAAATAACCAACGTAATGCCATATGGCTTAAAGTGTATCAAACATCCCTGTAATTCTAGAGACATTCTGGGCTAAACTACACAGAATTTGCCTAATCGAGGAGTTTAATACTTTTATTGTCCTTAGCGGGAATGCCAGCACATTTTACTGTGAGATGAACCACATGACCGCACTGAAAACACAAGAGCGCACTACGGCTTGAGCTTTAGTTCTGATTAACGGCGACTGAGACCACAGGCAGCATGTATACATTAAACCCAGTGTTTATGAAATTAATTAGACTGTGCGTAAATTGCAAGTTGTCACTAAGAAGTTGTTAAATATATCCGTGTCATTGTTTAAGTAAATCTGACAAGCGACCATGCATGTGCATAACTATATCAGGTAAAGCGGATCAAAGAGCAAAGTATAGGGAAATCACCGTTGGCCCTCTTCCACGAACAATAACTTTTGCAACGCACAATATAATTATAAACGGGCATTTAGTGCAACAAATAGAATTTAAACCCTTAAGGAAAAATAATATAGGTCTACTGACACGTACTGACTTCTACATGAAATAACAGTTAGGTTAAAAATAAAAGTAAATAAGAGAAGGAAATAATATCCATCCATCCATTTTCTGAAGCCGCTTAATCCCAACTGGGGTCGCGGGGGGGGATCGGAGCTTATCCCGTGAACAACGGGCGCAGGCGGGAACCGACATAGGTACATTAATATAATTTCACTTGCTTGATGAAATTCACTGTTTTGGTATGCAATCAAGAGCTGTGATTTGAAGCAAAATGCCTTTGCCAGTATTTGTTTAAACTTATTACATATCTCCTGCAAGCAATATTTTGTTATTTATTTAAAGGTCTAATATTAGGTATATATCTTAAGTGATTTCAAGTCGTTTTCTCTGCAGTTACCAAAAAAAAAATCCTTCTAATAGCTCCCTCTGCTGGTGCTCTTCAGCAATGCACAGGGTTTCGAGGAAAAGTGCACGATTGTGTCTGGTAGCAGATCTACTGACATACCAGTGGCCTGTACTACGAAGCGGGGTTATTGGCTTGTCGGGGTAACTTGTTGGATTTAAGGTACTACAAAATGGACTTCATATTCGTTCACTTACATTTTGCCCAGACTACCTTAAGGCCGACAAGTTACCCCGATAAGCCAGTAACCCCGCTTCGTAGTACTGGCCACAGGCTGCAGGGTGGCAGATTAAGCCAACAGTAGTCCCCCTATATCCGTGGGTGATGGATCCAAGACCTACTGCAGGTGGTCCAAGCCACGGATAAAGACGTGCCATTTGCGGATTTCAAATATAATGTGATTTTGGTGTACACACATATGGAAGTTTAATCGATAAATTATGCTCAGTAAAACATTACCGACATTAAATACAGTAATAATAAAGTTCATTGTGTATTGTCATACAGTACCGTATTCTCTCTCTCTCTCTGTCGAATGAAAGGTATTCTGACATTTTAGCCTAATTCTCAAGGCATATGTAACAATGAATAAATATCATGTGTCACGGAATAATGGAGAAATGAAAACCATGCTTTTTATACCCCTCAAAGGATAAAAGAACAATGAAAAACAAAATATTGTATCATGTACCCATACAGCCTGACCTCGCTTATCATGCGGTTTGAAGTTTACAAACCGTTTCTTTAGTGTAAAAAACAACAAAACTGAAACCGCGGTTTTTGTTATTGAAACCGCGCATTCAGGAGTCCCACTGTACACGGAAAAAGAGAGGGAAGAAGATCTCAAAAGAGATAAAACATTACATAAGAACTCGCAACTTTCATTTAAATACTGGATAAATGCAAGTATTGCTTGGAAATCCAAAACCAGAATGTAGTAGGCCTTTGTTAAGTCACTGTTGTCACCTACAATTAAGATACACAAACTCCATTAAAAATTCTTCGCAGGAAGTTTAGACACAAAACCCACAGACATTAACGTTCATATTTATCAAGACACTGACCGGATTAATAGGGTGACTTTTGTCCTTTATTATTCTGCTTTGTGGTGAGGTGTTCTAGGAAAATCAAAACCTTAAGAGTCAAAATAGAGGCCTTTCAGTTGCCAAGAAATGAATTCCAGCAGACGGAAAGAGGAGGGACAGGGCTATCACATCATCTTGAAGCCCAGCCATGGACTCCTCTACTTACTATTTGCCTCTTTTCTCTGCCACCCATTAAACTTTGTATTGCTGTGCCAAAAAGCACATTAGGGACCTAAGACTTCTGATCCAGGTAAGTTCTCCAGCAGTACACACACACACAAACACACACAAGTTGGTCTTCCTATCTAAATGGGGACTGTCCATTCATTTCTATGGGAAAAAACATAATTCCAATCACAACACCCTTAACCTCTACCCATCCCTAACCTTAACCATAAGTAACCAAGTCAAATACAAGACTTTCGGTATTTTTACTTTTTTGATTGCATTCACAGATTTGTATAAAACTGAGGTTATCCAAATGGGGAAATTTCAGATTTTACTACACTCTGGGGACAATTTGATCCTCAAATGTGATCTATGCAAACACACACATGCACACACACACACTCACTAGCCAGCACCACCCGACTTTTCCTGATAAAATCAAACCTCTTAGTATGTCTCTGTTGGCTGGTCAACGATAGTGTTATAATTAGTGGAACTTGCTTTCTTCATTTAAATATGCTGGACTAATCACCACAGGACTCAGATCATGTCAAAACAAAATCATGGAGCCAAATAACATAAATGAACTGCATGCAATTCCATATTTTTTTTGCAATTTCATTCTCTGAGCATTAACTATCAAGCTGGAATTCAACATTAAAATCTAATTAAATTGATACTATTAACCATCATTTTCTAGAAGTTTTGTTTAGATCTTTTGCTGTACAACTGATGACATGTGGCAATATAGTGCAGTCCCTTGTCCATTTAAATGTACCATTTTACCTTCTGGTAGACAAAAATCTTCAGGTTCCCCAGATCAGCAAACATGTCAGTCCAAAAGACGAATATAAAAAAAAAAATTGTAATAATAATATTCTTTCTTTGAAAGTTGATATGGCAGATATTAAATTACATGAGTCATGGAAGTAGAGAACAGGTGAATAATTTCTGCTGCTTTAAGTCATGAACAAAGATGATGATGGCATGAACAAATCAGACAGGAACAATTTTGGGGCTCACCATGAACGCAGTCAGCACCCAAAAAGAGCATTCAGCAAGCTTCAGATTAGCCAGCTGGACAGAAAATCAGCTCATTGTTAATAGACCTCCATACGAATATCTTAAGTTATCTCCTCAATTACTCCCCTAAATTATCTTGCTGCCTGCAGGATTCTTCCATTTTATGTGGCACATGGAAACTGAGATGCAAATAAAATAGATATTACATTGGTATAACAGAAGCCTCATCTGGCATTCTCAAATGCGTATTCTTTTATTTCTGAAATAAAAACCTAGACCATAAAGTGAGCTGTTTGCTCAGTTCAGCTGACAGATTCGCATGCAGAATGGAACTGGGGGGAAAAGATGCAAAGAACCTGAACATGAAATGACACACAAAGAACATGGTCTCCAGGATTACAGTCTTCCACCCCATTTCACTGGACAGAAATACTTCGGTCAAACTGAATCTCAAAGAAATATGGCTTTAAATTACTGGAAATATTAATGTCACACTAGACCTTCTGACTTTAAATGAAGTACTATGACGTTTGGCCATTTGCAATTTTGAATTTGAAGTATTACCAGCTATAAAAGAAAGCTATAGGATTTCTGTCTTTCGGTAGTGCTGAATCCTCGGCATTTCCTGGGTGCTGGGGGGGCTCAGGGGCTCAGAGCAGTCGTCCATGCATAAAGACACGAAGAAGAAGGACCCCCCTATGATGAGGAACAATCCGGAAAACCAGCCGGAGAACAGCGCCTCGCCAAACTCCCAGCGGGGCACAACGTCGGGCAGGCTCTCATCCCAGAACTCTACCACCGTCACATAAGCCACCAGGGAGATGGGCAGCAGGGTGGTGATGCCCGACACCCAGGACAGCACGCCACCCAGGACCAGGAGCCCCCGCTTGAGGCGCCGGTGCCCGGGTCCCAGCTCGACGCCGTCCAGCCCAAAGAAGGCCACGGCGACCGCCAGCGCACCCATCACTATGGATGCTAGCATGAGCACCCGAGACACCAGTACGTCTGCAGGAAGGGCCAGCAGCGAATCGAAGGCCTTGCACTGCAGTCCCACCTCCTCCGTGAAGATGCAGCTGTGCCACAAGCCCTCGTACCAGTTCTCCATCTCGTTCAGGTCCGTATTCAGGGTCTTCCACAAGGGCAGGAATGTGGTGACGAAGGTGGTGACCAAGCCACCAAAAGTCACTAAGAGGGCCAGCCTCTGCACTAGCTTACGGGTCAACAGCACCATCCCTCTCCTCTCTCTCCGTTTCGCTCCCTCCTTCCTTCGTACGACAGAAAAATGAGGATCAGTCGTTAGAAGGACGTCTCCTGACTCCTCTGCGGGCCCCCTTATAAACCCCGCCGCCGATTCGAGGGCCCCACGCACTACAACAGCGCCACTGTTTCGTCACACCAATAAATGCCGTCTTGGGAACAATGAGCGCTGTCAGATGAAATCAGATATGTCCAGCAGGTTGAGGGGAGGGGAGGGGGGGGGGGCGTCCAGCACGACTGCGAGCACCAGAAGCCTCCAGCGGGAGAAACCTGAGCAAGTCAACCTGAGGAGAACAAATGCGATGTCTGGGGTGAAAGAATTCGAAAAGAACTCTGGAAACCAGTGAAATAACACACGCCATGGCTACTGCGGGTGGTTCTGTCACTGTTGATGGTCGCCAGTGACCTCACACGCCCATACCCCTGACCGGACGGGGGCAATAGTAAATATGCTCATTCAGCAAGTGTTTCACAGGAGGTTCTGCATGAGGACCAAAATGATGATCAACTGGCTTGTTGGTCTGTGAGTCCACAAATTAATCTGACCATTTTCCCCACCTTTCAAGGTTATAAGAAAACCAGTTAAGGCCCTTGTCATGAACTTCATATACCACCTAAAATAGAGGCACTTTGGAAGCTGCTGCATGTATACATGTGTAATAATTAACTGAATACAAAATGATTAACTAAATAAGGGAAACAGTGGATATGTATCTGTTCAGATTTAATGCACACATGATGACTGAAGTCATTTCTTTAGTCAACATGCTTGCCAACGAGGCAAAAGGCAGCTCAAACCAATCTATAAATGCTGCTGAAATATAAGCCCAAGTGTGCATTGCCTGCAAACACAGGACAGCTTTAATCTAACGTAAACCAAACCCTTTCAACCAGCTGAGATATAAAAGAAGTGACCGTCTGACAGCTGGACAGCGAGCATCTTCACGGCAGCTTCAGTTTCTCTCTGGAATAATCGTCCCATATTCTCTTCAAATTATTTTAATCGAATACAACTCTAAATATAAGTAATTAAGCAAAACTCTGATTGTTCTGTTAATAAATTATGTGCTGAGCATGTTTGAAAATGTTTTTTTTTGGATATTTGATCGTCTTCGACCTTTCAGCTCTCTGTTAAAAGGTGAATTATGTAAGTTAATCTTAGACAAAGATCTGCTTAAACCGTAGTGGCTGAAAGCCATATTTAATAAGGGTGACCCATATGACCTGCTGGACATTCCGCTCCTTTCATTTTTCAGCCTGAGATCACCAGTATGACTGATCCTGCCTGGGGCAGGCAGAGGACTTTGTGAGCGAGGAGCTCGGATCACTTAAAGCAGCACAGTCACATTCAAGGTAGTCTTCGGTGGGTGTGTTCAGTGCTCTTAAATGAGCATTTTTAAGATTAAAATACACTTTATTGATCCCAGGTAAAAAATCTGTACCCCAGGAGGAAATTCTAACAGGAGAAATTTTAACACTGCAAACTGAATATAAAAACATCCTATTCTACTTCTGATTCCCCATAACAGAAAAATGTGTTTGGCTCAAACCCAGCTCTTAAGTGAAAAAGTAAGAGGAATACCTCATTCATCCTATATACAGGTGAGAGCGAGCTTTGGGGTCGGAGGTCATGGCCAGCCAGCATCCCTGGAGTGGCTGGAGTTAAGGGCCTTGCTCAAGGGCCCACTGGTGACATCACTGGTGACATCAGGGGATAATTACCTGAACTGTTAATAAACTGGTTATTATTAAACTGGTACATGATGTGAAAATGTATACACTTTTACCTTTCACATAAGGAACATTCGTATTTCCATCCAAATTATCAGTGTCTTTTGTGCGTCAAACACCAGACACAAACATTCTGACCACTGGATGCGGAGTTCATAGGTTTCTTTGCCATGAGAACTAGGACTGTTTGACAGGAAACACTCTCGAAGAAAATGGAAATGCAAGTTTCAGGAAATGTAATGATTAGCCATAGATGTCCAGCAGGTGTAAGACAAACTGGGGGTGATGGTTCCAGTGGAGCATCATTCGTCTGCTGTCTGCGTCTCCAAAGAAGGGGGCAAAAAAACAGACAGCTGTGAGCACTGTACCACTTGCAAACCATCTATGTTGACAAATTAAATTTACTTGGCAGGTGCCCAAACGACACCGACAACGCCTCACTCAAGCAGATTAAAGCTGGAGTAACCTCTAAGGCAGCTGGACACACCTGCGATCATCTTGCAGACAAAGTCGCTAGAAACTGCAGGCTGCAGGACACACAGCACTGCACTCCCTGCTGCTGGAGCCTTCGGATTTATAACATCTTTGTGGGGACTCTCCATTCATTTCTATGGGGAAACTCCAGTCTCGGTATGACGACCTTAACCCTAAGCTTGATCATAAATAGCTAAACTAAATATGAAACTTTTGGCATTTTTACTTTTTTGAATTGCATTCACAGATCTTTGTGGGGACCTGAATAACGATCCCCACGTCAAAATAACAGGTTTTTAATCACCATTTGGTCCCCACAATGTAACACAAACCCAATACATATACTGTAAACACACACACACACACACACATTTGACTGAAGAACAAAGTACCAGGAGCTGCTGTAGGTTTCCATACAGGGAGCGCATAAAGCAGTGCCTTGAGGCTGTAATTTAATTAAAAGCTGAAGGTAACATTCTGCAGATGGAATTCCTGAGCATCAAGAAAGTCCCCATTGCTCAGAATCACTCTCTGGAAGCTCCGAACAGCAACCACACTGCATACACCCTATCCAGTAAACGTTTTCAGAAATATTTCATGCTTTCTATATTGTGGGACCTAGTACAGGTGTTTTGAACACGACAAGACTAGTTTCCTTGTCCACGCATTCAAAAATAATTCTTTACACCGGAAACATTTATATACAGCAAACATTTAGGCTGATCTCCCCCACATTTTCCTCCTCACCTGGATCGGGTACCTACCCCCATTTGTCATCTGCCCCCCACAGCAGCCTGAAGGTTCCCAGCCCATCACACACCTCTGACTGGCAGCTCACAGCCACACTTTAAGTGGGGCCGCCACCCTGGCAGGGCACCCGCTGGGCATCAGGTTGGGGGCAGAACACCACAAGCCAGAGAAAACTGGGCAGCCTATTTATTCGCCATACGCATAACACACTATACTTGGCATGATCCAAAATCCCATTACCTGAATACTTTATAAATCGATGCAGAAGATACATGCAAACAACTTTTAAGAAATTATAAACTAATGAGGAACAGGATGAACTTATATGAATAATTTACTTGAAGTACACAGAGATATGAACCAATGATATTTGGGGCTACAACACATCAGAAGCCCACCGGAAAAGCGGCAGGATCATGTGTGAATATTTGATAGGTGCCTGAACACTCATTAGCAAATTATAGCAGCTCATTATGAACTGGAAGGTGTCTATAACATGAGTCAGGTCTCAGTCAGTGCTCTTCCACATCATACCTAACCATCTGATTCTTCTGCCCCTACTGGTTCCTCCTCAAAGAGAAGCAGGGAGAGGGAGATCAGCCCACCCATCACAGAGGGGTCCAGTTGCAGAACCTGGCAGAAGCTTCAGCAGTGTCTCAGCCCAGGAGAATGAGGTCCTTTGTGTAGCAGCCCAACACCAGTCTTTCCCACTCTTGAGTTTCAGGTCAGGCCGAGGTCAGGTGAGGAAGCAGAGGATCTGTAAAGCTCTGCTCCACTAACCTCCCCAGATAAAGAGAGGCTTTGGAAACCCAGATCTCGCTTTGTTCAAACATATCTCCGCCATCTTCCATTACTGCATTATTATACACTCATAGTGATATGTCGCACTGGGGGTAGTTTGCACCAACACATAAAAAAGGCTGTCTCTATTCAACAGTCTTCATTTATTAAGGCATATAATACACAATACTAACACTGCCATACAATTTGCACATTTTTATACTTTATTACAGACAACTATTTTCCGCTATGAGTGATTACAGAATACACATCTGGCAGCCTAATGAGAGGTACACGAGCACAAACATTTACTGAGGTGATAATACAACTCAGGGTAATAGTGGACAGCAAAGGGAATATGCCGACTGAGAAACTGCAAAAACAAATTCAAATTTCAATTATACTTGTTAAAATATTAGGAAAAAATGAGAAAATAGGAATGTATGACATGTTCTCTGAGAATTTGCGATGCTACGGAAATGCTTTCAAGAAACGTCCCTTGACATGAAACGTTTAAGTGACAGCATTTTAGTTTTGTGGCTTTGCTACCACATCCTCAAATCATTTTTGCAGTGTTACCAAAGAAACAAAGTGTCACTCACAAGTTACCAATAAATGTAACTTTTGTGGGAAAAAAAAAAAACTTGATATTTCAGTTTTTTGTAACACAAAAAACAAGCTAAGTTATAAAATAATGGTTTACTATACAAGGGAGAAAAGAGGCAGGCATGTGTGTATGGTGGGGGCCGGGGAAGAGCTGGAACGTGGACAGCGAACAGAAAAACACAAAGAAATGGCAGTAGGCACTAATAAAGCACTAGCTATATGTCGGAGCCCATCTCCGCACACTGTTTGTCTGATATGTGAGAGGCTAGTGACTCGATGATGTCCAGCAGTAGCGGCTGACTGAGAGACCGCAAGTTTGGGAGCTTGGAGACCTTGGGTAGGGGCGGGGGGGAGAGAAGGAGGCAAAAATAAAATCAACACTTGGGGAAAAGGCAAGTAAGAAACAATAAAACAACCTATACAAAGTAAAATGATGCTAATGAACGGCAATGGAACTGATGTGTCCAAGATAAGCTAACCGTGGAAGCGGTGAGTACACAGTCGTGTAAAGGAGTCACCACACTCCACTCTGGGTGGAGGGAGGCAGCTTAAGCCATTGTATCATTTTATCATGGAGGTCTGCACCATGCACGGAGGGCGCCGATCGGCTCTGTCACTGGAACCCCGAAGGCA